AAACTACATTTTCTCAGTTTCTCTCTCTCATTGCTCAAATTGTCAAGTTCTCAATTCCCTTGAACCATTTACAGAAGCATACCTATTAAATTGGAACAGGAACAGATGAATTCTTCTGGAGTTTGCATATTAAGTGTTTTAGAGTTCATTATGATGCATATTTAATCACATTTTCAAAATTTTAAGCCATCATATTCATGTTTTTATTTTTTACAAGAAAAAAAGAAATTTGATAGGCAAAAGTCAAATAATAATTTGTATAATAGAAAACTGAAAAAATTAAAAAGCTTATTCGCTAGAAGGAGGGCTTGAACCTCCGACCTTGTGGTTAACAGCCACACGCTCTAACCAACTGAGCTATTCCAGCTTGCTTGCCTAGCCAACATAATTTAATTTATTTATCCATAAACGTGTCTTTCTCCAATTAAGAATATGGAAAGTTTTCGGACAAGACAAAAAAGGAACTCACCCTTTGATACCACGATATAAGAGCTGATTGCGGATGATGACTTGGTGAAAGAAATTTATGAAAAAAATTTCTCAAACCGAGTTAGATCGAATTAGGCGAAGAAGGGAACGGGGAGTTTCTCACCCCATAGAGTATGAATAAGCATAAAAAGGATATTGAGGTCTAGGCAAAGATACAATGATACATAATCCAAATACTAATATTGATACTAACAATTACCCAACAATTCAATAATACAACACACTATTTGCATTCTAAAAGTAATGATTTAATTTGATCCCAGTTGTAAATATATATAAGGTATTAACATAAATAGTCATGTTCTATACCTCAATTCTAGTTAATAAGATTTGTTATTACTAGGATAAGGATGTTAAGGTTCTTCAAGTGTTACATCTTTGGTTCACGAGTCACGACTAAACTAAATCTCCTCCACACTCAGATCAGAGAAAAAAACCATTAAGCAAATTTGCGGTGACTGAAAATCAGGAATAGTATAAAGCTTGCAGTAGAGTGAGTTACAAAAGTATCTGTTTCGGTTTTGGATTCAATGTATATTAACGGACATTCTAACGGAACTTTTACACTATCGGTGAAAATTTAACCTATTATAGCAGGTTACCTGTCTTATTTTTCAGCATACTAACCCACCGAAATCGGTATGAAAGTTATGATGCTCACTCCCACTTTTTCTGAAGTATCAAGCTGTGAATCCTACAACTATAAACAAATACCAAATAAATGCATTCCAGAAAGTAAAACATGTCATTCAATCTGAAAAACCAAATTTTGATGTCAAAAAAGTTAATAAATACATTAGGGAAATAACTCTCAGAGATCTTTTTCACTTTGGGAAGATACAAAAGTGAAACAATCAACCTATTATAAAATGGACATCATTTACAATCTAAATAACAAATTGAGAATGAGAAAATCTTGATCTCATTTTGACAGAAATCTCTTAATACATTAAGCTCATTTCCTGTGAGAACCATGTAATGATCTTGGAGATCCCTCAAAGAGATCCAACAAGAAATTCTCCAAGTCATCGGCACTGTACTTAATGTATTTGTCACTAATATGGTTAGTGTGCCTTCCGATAAATGTCCTATATGCTTGAATAACTTTAAGAGATATTGAGATCTTAAGATCTTCACGAAGTTGGCAATCAGCTATTGACCAACCTGTCTGACTCTTGTAAGCTTCATCAAATGCAAGATAAAAGCTCTGCAGTCTCTCTTTGAGCAGAGTTTTAGAGATAGAATTTGAGCCTGGATTCTGAAGCCCTTCGTCCCTAAGTAACGAAAGGATGGAGCTCCAAGTAGCTCTCTCGTAGTTCATTGCATTCTGTTGGAATCTCCAATTATGTTTGCGAATCCAATCATCGCCTAGTATTGTTCTTAGATCATGAGAATTCTTCACCTTTTCAGCCATGTAATGAATATTATTCATCAAGAAAAGGTGACCTAGTGATTCATCCTTGTATAACTTGGACTTATCGTCTAGGTTGCATTCCAAAATTGAAGTGAAGGATCGAAAATGTTGAGCCAGTGGAGAAATGTAGCAAATTCTGTTACTGTTGTCCTCTTCCCTATCCGGTGTCATTTCTGGTGAAATCGCCACCAAATCTTCTTGCTCGTTGTCCTTCAGAAGCTTATTAAGGATCTTGCTATAATCTGTAAGAGTTTTCATGTAGTTCATAACGTATCTCGTGAGAGGGTGTATTCCACCACCAGGAAAAGGATTCGTCGATATGCTGGATGCAACAGCATTCTCAAATTCAAGAAATGTTGTTCTTGCACAATCAGCCAAGCTTCCGAGGATGTCTTGGCACTCGGTTCTAACACATAATCCAGCATCATCAAAGTACAGAGCATCAATATCTGGGATAAGATCTGAAAGCACCTCATACATGTCAAGAATCCGAATCAACTTCTCCGGTTGATGAGATCCAATAGCCACTGCTTCAGCAAATTTCAGAAGATGCAGTATTGAAGCTTTTGAAGATTCAGCAAAGCAAACCGAACTAACTGAATCAAGATCACCAAAAATCTGATCACTTAACCATTTTTCACTGGCAAGATAGACGCGCACAAAGATCTTCATACACCGTATCCACCTCCTGATTTTGGAGTTCAATGAGTTCCATTCCATCTTCATCACATCCTCTATCCTCAATTTCTCTACTTCAAGAATGAATAGGAAATCATCCAAGGCATCCTTTCTAACACTGATAAATGCTTGCGAGCACTCTCTACCATAATTTGAATTGAACATCAAATTGGCAATGCACCTTAGGTCAGGAATCACATCCGGATGCACAAGTTCAACGACGTATTCCTCTGAGCGCCTACTCATGCTATCTCTTTGAACCACATCCTCTACTGAGTCATCTCCAAATGAAACAATAGAACCCTCATCATCTTCGCTTGAACGAAAAGACATATGCTCAGGCTCAAAAGGCTGCTTGTTGTGAACAAGCAAGTGCCTAAACTCCTCCTCAAGCCGATTCATCGCTATTAGCATAACCTCATGAGCCCTGCACAAAAGCTCATCCTCTTTACTATCTTTATCCACATTCAAACTCTCTAACCGTTCAATCAGTTTTCGAGCTTCATCCACTGACCTCAAATAATCATCTGCATATTCAGGGCCACAATCCCATATAACAGATTGATCCACTTCCCAGCTCATCACCTTATTCTGCACTATGTTAAGCTGCTCCTCAAGCTCACTGAACTTCTCTATAGTGTCTTCAGTTTCACCAAATAATTTCTCAGGTTTGTTTTCACTCAAGGAAGACAATTGAGAGCCTAAATCAGCCAGAATTTTTCTTGCATCATGTGTTAAATTCTTTTTCTTTTCCAATGCTTTCACAATCTGCAGTGCAGCTACAATCAGTTTTTCTTCATCCTCCATTACAGGAAGAGTAGCTTCACAGTCTCCCATATCATAAAAGAATCCAAGAAATTAGCTTAACACACCACCAAGAAGTGTGATGCGTTGAATGAAATCCCTCCACCCTTAACCGAGTAGAGAGCACTGCCTCTTTTAACGGGCTCGGAGTTAGGGTGAATTGGATAGACAAAATGTAAAGAATCAATTTTTTAAAACTCCAACCCCCTTTTTAGGGTGAATTGGATAGACAAAACAAAAGGGCTCAGCAAAGATAGGATAAATGGCTAGACCCCAGATGCAAGAATCAGAAGGAAGCTGAAATCTTTGAAGCAGAAAGTAAGATATCAGTGAATATAATAGCTTTCCCCAAATTTGGAAAACCCAAAGTTGTTAGCTAACTAAGGATTTCCTAGGGCCAAATATGGAGAAAAAAGTACAAAAATAGAAATATAAACTTTTTTCAAGAATCAGAAGAAAGCTGGAATCTTGATGCAAAAAGTAAGATTATCACTATATGAGTGAATAAGATCTATATATATATGCTAATAAGTTTGCAATTGGTATATGTTTTTTGAATAAGAACAAAGAAAAACTAACCCTTCTAGAGATATTATCAGATTATAAGACTGGAATATAATATTTCCCTTGGAAATTTAAGCTGAAATAGTGGAAACAAATGTTGGTTTGGTTTCCCTTGTAGCTGCTTTCTGATGACTTTCTCTGAATTGGCATTGGGTTTGACAAGTGCGGCTTTGACCATTAGTCTTGTTGAAACTTTTGAGGCAAACAGTCTCTTAGATTTACCTGAAATAGTCTTTGCGGGTAAAACCGGTATTACTATAGGCAATATCTCCTTTTTAATAGGAGACAAAAAGAATCTATTTTTAGGACAAATACTACGGGGTCGTTTGGTTAGTAATCCGGTATAAAATTTGGGATTGCATCCGTCGTATCAGCTATTACCAGTATAACTATATACCAAAAACTTGTTACTATTATTTATCCATATAGGAGGTGAGATTATAATCCTTGGATAATCCTGTTTTAAACTAAACGATCCCTTTACCGGATCATGTGTGTTTTACAGACAAAATTATGATGAAATTATAATGCGGAGATTGATAATTCCTGGATTATTTAGCACTAGTGATTTGTTTAATTTAAACTGCATAAATTGGGATAAATTCTTGTTTTCAATATTAACTTTGACCTTCTAAAAAGAGCTTTTGCAGAACTACAAAATTATATTGGTGTTACTTATACGGAAAATAAAAATGCAAAATAAGACAGAATTTTACTTTTTGAGTAATACAATTTAAATTCTTTCCTTTTTCTTTTTTTTACCTCCCATAACCAACAAAAGAAAAAGAAAAAAAGGTAAGGGATTATTAATCAGATGTAGAGAAGGAGAGTATTCCCTTCTTTTGGAATAAACATTCATTTTATAACAAATTTCGTTATAATATATTGGTGGCGTTCTTTGTATTGAATCATGTAGGTCACTAAGAAATAAACAATATTTGGGTTCTTAAAACTTAGACTATTCTTTCTTTTCCGAACAGAGAAATAGTCATTCCAAATGATTAACAATTATTCAACAATTTTTAAGTTTTTTTTGTAAACTAATTAAATATCTTTTGGAATGGATGAGGTTATGGTCTATTCTGTCTGTTGTTGGACTTTCATATTGATACAACAGCTTAAAGATTGGATGAAGATAAGCCAAAAAAGTCAGAAAAGACCAAAATTTATGTACACATAAAATATGAAGAAAAGTCTATAGGTTTGTAACATAGTGAGTGCTAACAGTTGACTCATTCATCCCTTTTCTTCCTTGCTAGCTTTGTTATCAAGAAACAAGAAAAATGTAAAAACAAAAAAAATACAATTGGATATATAAAGTGTACACTATTTGGTGTCTCATTTGAGCTTTTTCCCCAAAATAAATGTAAAGAAGAGATATACATATACTGGAACGATAATCACAACTCAAATTTTTAACAATACTAAGACATGAATACATTGTGAAAGAACAATGAAGTGTGAGGGAGTTTTGATCTCTAACCATAAATTTCGAATTCGAGTTTTATGAATGGAAAATCTTTCATTAGAAGGTGTTTTACTTTCAATAAAGATAATATCCTGTGCAAATAATAAGTTGGGTCAATATACAAATTTTGAATATATACCTGATGGTTATACCGAAAAAATAATTGTGAAAGTGATCAGATTTGTGATTGTTATTAGTCAATAGTTTGTCGTCTAATTCGTTAATATTCAAATGCAATTTAAACAAAGAAAAATGGGGTCGAAGTAGAACGTGACGAGCTACAAGTTGCAACGATGAACTAATCAACCTTTCATCACACACATATACAACGTATTATTACAATTAATAATTGTGATTGAGTGAATATGATCCCTTTACTCTTAATTAAAAGTTTCGAGTTCGAGCTCTAAAAATAGAAAAAGTTATAATAGGAAATGCTTCAAAATATTTAATGAATCTTACGCAATATGAATTTAAATTAATTGGGGTACAATTTTAATATGAGTACCGAAAACCGAGTGAAAAGTTAAAAGAAAGAGACAATAAAGTATAAACTAAAACTGACTTGTACATGTTGGTGCATGGGGGATGTTTCTAGCTTCCACTTGCCTCCAGTTCTTTAATCTTGACCCCTTTTACATTAATTTTCTTGGGGTTGTTATTTATTGCTTGGACAGCTTCTAGTCATGGGAATTCCAAAAAATATATTAAAAAGTAGGGAAGAAAACCCAGCATAGGAAAGATGGAGCAACTATTTATTTAGGATTTACGTTTAATATAATGACCGTGTAAAGAATTTAGCATTATCACTGCAATTTAATTTATTATAATAAGATAGTAATTTAATTTTCAGGTTATCATATCAAATTTATTAATGCCTATTCATTGCAGCTCTTTATCTGATAATGCAAAAAAAATTATACATCATTAGTGTACAAATTTAAACTAATTTATTTATGTCCTATGCTGCGAGGCATGTGTGGAGGGGGAGGGGGGATGTCATCGTTTCCTTTATCTTTTATTTTTATCCAACTATCAACAACATTTTAATTCGTTCAGTCTAGCGATTCAACGATCAACAACACTTGTAATCCTGAGCTTTGCAAAAATTTTATATTGGTGCAATAATTTTTTTGGAGGATAAAGGGACTTGAACCCTCGTGATTTTTAAAGTCAACGAATTTTTCTCTTACTATTAATTTCATTGTTATTGATATACCACACTATGCATAATATCATCAATAATCGATTAACATAATATACTGCTATTTGGTATTGATAATAGATGTGAAAAAATATCCAAAAATATTAAATTTTGATATTTATAACCCGTCAAAGTAAAGAATCATAATATGTATTAATGGAAAATATGTCTTTTTGATAGAGTTGAAAAAACAATATCTCGTTAATTCATTTAAAACTCCAAATGATTCAAATTTAGGGTGTCTACGGGGGAAGACGTATTCTATAATAAAAATAGTTTTTAGTATTTAATTGTCTAAATTACTGTACATATTTTTTCTAGAAAAAATAATATTCATCAAAATAAGAAATGGCTTGGGCTAAAACAATTTAATTCTTGCTCATATAATTTGCTTCAATGAACAAGGAGTATTATTATTTGCCTTTCAATCAATTAATAGACTCAACACTACATCATAATCCTAAATTAATTGAGTTTATGAATCATATGCATTCATTCAACTTTATTTAGATCTATCCGGTATTCACTATCAAGAAGTATGATGGAATGAATATAATTTTTTTATTCTTAACCGAAGCTCTCGGCTTTGAGCTTATAAATAAAGAATTTTCTAGTAGTGAGCACTTTCTCCTTTAATAGATGTTATGCGTATGTGAATCTAAACTAATCAGAATACCCGAATACTTAAAGATTATACAAAAAAGAAAAAAGATCATTCAATATTCAAACTAATTAACATTGATCGACAACTTTAGACGGTGGTCTACTTTGTATATGCCATGTACTTTGTACCAATCAAATACCGAAAAATATTTAAAAAAAATGATTTCTCAAAATAAACATTACATACCAAATAGGAGTTTTGATTTTGTTAGTATATGTCTATCTATTGCAAAAGAAGCTAAGCTCCCCAAGTCTCAGTCTCTGGCCTATGAGATGCTTACGTTACCATCAATCCATATCCATTTAATTTGTTACTCCATCATTATCATAAACAAATTGGTAGCTCCTTCGATTCTAAATATTAGTCGTCTTAATAAATTTAAATTCTTTTGAAATATTTAATATTTTGAAAAAAAGATATATATTGAATTATCTCGTCAGTCGGATAAAATTACTTTTTCTTTGCCGGTCTCTCATTAGACCTTCGCCTTTTTCCAGTGGCCAAATTGAAGCGTTCTATGGTTCTTCAATTTTTAATTCACCCTTATTGGTCTGATAAGTGGAGTGAAGTGAATTAAGACATTTAAAAAAGAGGCACAAAAGGTTTATGATTAAAGCTATGAAATATTTTCGGAAGAAGTATATATATACATAAAGACTGAAAAGACAGATAATATAAATGGATGATTGTACAAACACTGTTTAGTATCAAGTGGACAATAAATAGTGTTGGACCGCCCAATTATTTGCTTAGATATTAACTCACCAATTGGAGCAGAATGAACTTAATACACAAAATATCCTAGACTTGCTTAGAAGGTTCAAAGTTCAAAATTGGTGGTGAATTTTAATAAATTAATAATGTGATTTACTAAAACTTCAAACATCCTGAGACTTCAGACTTCAGATACTTCAAGTTCCTCGTCAAAAAGGTGAAGCAAATAGAAATTCATCAACATTCATGCAGCCTTAGACTTTTTGGTCCTCTGAATATTTCACACTTGAGCATTTGAACTTTGAATTTGACAAGTGAATTGTGCACTAGTAATACTTTTTGAGTTTCCCACTCAATATTATTCGATATTTGTTTTAGAATTCACATTAATCTGAATTGTAAGGTCCATTAAAGAGAGAACCGTTCCCAACTAGATTTTTTTTGGGATATTTGCATAAAAATATAGCACACTACATTACATTTAACTACATAGCCATGTTTTTAAGTTTAGAGCCTCATAGCCAATTATTCTTTTATAACAGTGTTTAAAAACTTAGTACTACTGTACAATATTATACACCTGGTATATAATATTATATAAAACTCTAACTATCTTTTTACAATAGTGTTTAAAAATCCGGTGTATAATATTTATACATTTGGTATACAATATTATACAAATTATACACTTACTGTAAATAATATATATACACACTATAAAAATGTGTAATAATATTTAACAAGTTTTATACACACTTTTATAAAAATAAGGTTTGTCTCCTGCAAATTTCAACCCGCGAAACTCCATCCGGAAATGGGACAATACATCACCAAATTAATTTGAAATACTCCCAACCAATGGATTTGAGTGTTCCCAATCATTATCAACAGTTTTCTTTAAAACCGCGAGTTGAATCTAACAAGATTTTTGAATTTTCAAACCTACTCTAACAACTTCAAATTCTTCAATGGTGACCAAAATTTTCAAACCTCATCACTAGGCTTAGTTGATACACGCCGGATGAGCAAGCTTAACGAGGATAAGTTTCAAGTCAACATCATAGCATTGGAATGCTTTAAAGGAGTCAAGATCAAGAATGCTATTTTGAAAATTTAGCTATTTAGGTTAGTCTTAT